GACAGGCACAGAATTACAGGCTCCAACCCTGTCCACCACATATATTTGTGTAGTAAAAAAATCGATTGCAGGATAAATTCATATGCATGACGTTGCTGTGTGATATTTTCTATGAATTACAACACAGAATTTAGAGTGTTGGACAGCTAATTCACATCAGCGATATTTCCAACAGTAATTTCGAATATTCTCTGATACCGTGTACTATATCTGTTTGTAATTGTTATCTATTTGGCACCGACATTTAATACTATTTGGGGGAGGGCATGCTCTTTTTAAACTAAAATACTGTCCGATTCTAAATTTCTAAAAAAAGGTTTTATAAAGGTTTTTTTAAAGAGGTATACAGTTGTAATCTGATTCAAATTATTTCCGTTTACATCTTTCATAGAATACCAATTATTGGAGTTAATTGTATGTTTTTTTCAAAAATGTATGCATTATGATTTTTAAAGAAACATTCCTATATAGAATATAAATAAGTCCCATGAGTCACACTGAAAAACCTAAGCAATTAGTTAGAAACTAAGAAAGAAAAAGATTCAGATGTATTATCAAAATGCTTTAGATCGACACTATTATGACATTAGATTGATGGAATATATTGCTAAATGGATGTTGTTAAAAATGAAATATTTATATCAGCTGACAGGAACATATATAAGACCAAATGAAAATGATTACTTCATGAATTTGTGATCAACCGATGACATTACATTATTTAGAATTACGAATGTCGTTTTAAACATATGTATTAGATTTAGCAATAGTTTGTGAATAAAAGTATTAAGTGTTTTAATCACGCTATGTAATATCTAAAAACTTCGTCATATAATGAGGTCGATGTCAAATGGTATGAAAAGTCATATCGGAAAGTGAGAGCATTATAGTCTATTGTTATTCTTATTTTTTCCACATGATTTTGTGGACTAGTAACTGATAATAAGAGCAGTCAATCTTGTTTTACAGTATTAAATGTATGAAAAAGAATATGTTTAGGCAATATTTTGGTCTATAATACATTGTAAGGTTAATTAATTGATTGATTTGTGTTTAAAGCCTCTTTCAACACTATTGTGCTATTTCGTGGCGGTCAGTTTTTATTGGTGGAGGAAGCCGGAATGCCTCGATTATGTATGTACCAAGTCAGAAATCTAGAAATGAATGTACTTAAACCAAGTTAGTATTCGATCGCTCATTGGTTTTGTCAGTTCCAAGTTAGGAATTTCGAGTTGTCAGTGACTATGTTTTTTCTAGTTGGGAAGACAATAGGTCGAGAAAACCCTATGATATTGAACTTGTTACTGTCTTAAAGATATTCCAATGCCACAGTTTGTCTCTTCTTTCTTTACACAACTAACCATACAATGGTACCGTTTTCTCTCTTCTTTCTTTACACAACTAACCATACAATGGTACCGTTTTCTCTCTCCTTTCTTTACACAACTAACCATACAATGGTACCGTTTTCTCTCTCCATTCTTTACACAACTAACCATACAATGGTACCGTTTTCTCTCTCCTTTCTTTACACAACTAACCATAAAATGGTACCGTTTTCTCTCTGTTTTCTTTACACAACTAACCATACAATGGTACCGTTTTCTCTCTCCTTTCTTTACACAACTAACCATACAATGGTACCGTTTTCTCTCTCCTTTCTCCACACAACTAACCATACAATGGCACCGTTTCTCTCTTCTTTCTTTACACAATTAACCATACAATGGTACCGTTTTCTCTCTTCTTTCTTTACACAACTAACCATACAATGGTATCGTTTCTCTCTTCTTTCTTTACACAACTAACCATCCAATGGTACCGTTTTCTCTCTCCTTTCTTTACACAACTAACCATTCAATGGTACCGTTTTCTCTCTCCTTTCTTAACACAACTAACCATACAATGGTACCGTTTCTCTCTTCTTTCTTTACACAACTAACCATACAATGGTACCGTTTTCTCTCTCCTTTCTTTACACAACAGATCATCCAATAGTACCGTTTGTCTCTTTTTTATCTTCCTAACTGATACAACGTACAGTTCATCTCATATAAAGAACCGTTTTGATCCTCATATTTTAAACAACTAATCTGCTAATGGTACCGAATGTCTCTTCTTTAAACGACTGATTATCTTATGGTACCGTTAGATACTTCTGCATCATTACACAACTAACCATCCAATTGTACCGTTTGTTTCTTTTTATTACGACTGATCATCTAATGGTACCGTTTGTTTCTTTTTATCACAACTGATCATCTAGTGGTATCTTTTGTTTCTTTTTATCACGACTGATCATCTAATGGTACCGTTTGTTTCGTTTTATCACGACTAATTATCAAATGGTACCGTTTGTTTCTTTTTATCACGACTGATCATCCAATGGTACTGTTTGTTTCTTTTTATCACGACTGAGCATCCGATGGTACCGTTTTTGACTTTTTATCACGACTGGTCATACTGTGGTACCTTTTTTTCTTTTATTACGACTGACCATCTTATGGTACCGTTTTTTTTTATCACGACTGGTCATCCAATGGTATCGTTTGTTTCTTTTTATCACGACTAATCATCAAATGGTACCGTGTGTTTCTTTTTTACACGACTGATCTTCCAATGTTTCCGTTTGTTTCATTTTTACATGACTGGTCATCCAGTGGTACTGTTGTTTCTTTTTATCACGACTAATCATCAAATGGTACCGTTTGTTTCTTTTTATCACGACTGATCATCTTATGGTACTGTTTGTTTCTTTTTTACACGACTGATCTTCCAATGTTTCCGTTTGTTTCTTTTTTACACGACTGATCATCATATGGTACCGTTTGTTTCTTTTTTACACGACTGATCATCTTATTGTACCGTTTGTTTCCTTTAATCACGACTGATCATGCAATGGTACCGTTTGTTTCTTTTTATCCCGACTGATCATCCAATGTTTCCCTTTGTTTCTTTTTACACGACTGATCATCTTATGGTACCGTTTGTTTCTTTTTATCACGACTGATCATCTTATGGTACTGTTTGTTTCTTTTTTACACGACTGATCATCCAATGTTTCCGTTTGTTACTTTTTATCACGACTGATCATCTTATGGTACTGTTTGTTTCTATTTTACACGACTGATCATGCAATGTTTCCTTTTGTTTCTTTTTATCACGACTGATCATCTAATGGTGCCGTTTGTTTCTTTTTATCACGACTGATCATCTAATGGTGCCGTTTGTTTCTTTTTATCACGACTGATCATCTAATGGTAGCGTTTTTTTGTACGACTGATCATCCAATATTTCCGTTTGTTTCTTTTTATCACGACTGATTATCTAATGGTACTGTTTGTTGCTTTTTTTACACGACTTATCATTCAATGGTACCGTTTGTTTCATATATTGCACGACTGATCATCTAATGGTACTGTTTGTTTCTTTTTGTCACGACTGATCTTCAAATGTTTCCGTTTGTTTCTTTTTTACACGACTGATCATCTTATGGTACTGTTTGTTTCTTTTTATCACGACTGATCATCTTATGGTAGCGTTTTTTTTGTACGACTGATCATCTAATGGTACCTTTTGTTTCTTTTGTTGCACGACTGATTATCTAATGGTACTGTTTGTTGCTTTTTTCTACGACTTATCATTCAATGGTACCGTTTGTTTCTTTTATTGCACGACTGATTATCTAATGGTACTGTTTGTTGCTTTTTTACACGACTTATCAATCAATGGTACCGTTTGTTTCTTTTAAACACGACTGATCATTCATTAAAGTACCGTTGGACTATTCGTCCTTCACACAACGGATCCTATAATATCATGATACCTATCTTCCAGTACACAACTGATCATATTATGCCATCGATCTTACTATGGTACCAGTATTTTAGGGGTCTTTTAATTGCCGGTCTTCATAACTTCATAAATATATATGAAAACAAAACAAAAATTCTGACACGTGTTTAACTAAAATTCGAACGATTTACGACCAGTAATTATTTGTATACTATTTATCATTTGTTTATATTTACATATTTCTTCATAATTTTGTGTTTTGTAGAGTTTTCGAACGATAGTTTTGTTAACTACACCAGCTTGATATAGACATATTACTTTCCAGTTAGTTGATGTGATACCACGTGATACCACTTTTAAAAATGTCAAAAACATACTCTCTTGTCAGATTTGTCCAGTAGGATATGCGCTTGCCATTTATCTGAGCTGGAAGAGCAGATCAATTTCAGTCGTTTCATTACTTTATAACTACATTTAAACCATTGAACTATTGGCGGACTATTGTGCTATTTTTCATTAAACTTTAATGCTTAGATATATGTTATATTTTATTCCATTTAACTCCTCATATTTGTCAAATAAATAAAGAATATATTAAAAGTATTCAATTGATAACTAGATACGATATGATATCTATGCGCACCACACGTGCTCATGGGTTGGATTTAATCGTCATAAGGACGCATGCATACTACACGTGCTCATGGTTTGGATTTAATCGCCATCAGAACGCTCGAGACTGGAAGCTTGGGAAACAAATATATAAAACATTGACAAACTAAAAATCCTAAAGGCCTTGCAATGACAATCAAACCGTTGAAGGTCAACTTAGCCTGAGGGAAATGCAACCTTAGCTTTAAGACACCATACATAAGTATTTGATCTGGAATTTTAAAACGTGTACCACATAGATTGCAACTTCATTTTAAAGTGTTTGAAGAAAACAAACTATCAGAAAGTATGTTAGAACCTTGGTCAAGCAGAATTTTCATATATTTTCCGTTTATACAGGACAATAACAAAACCAACAGAGGAAATAAAAATGAGAATGGAAACGTGGAATGTGTCAAAGAGACAATAACCCGACCAAACAGCAGAAAACAGCCCAAGGCCACCAATGGGTCTTCAACACAGCGAGAAAATCCCGCATCCGGATGCGGGGTTCAGCTGGCACATAAAAAAGGGGAAATAGTATATATTCTTACCGTTGTGCTGACCGGACTTCTAAAAGTCCGACTTCTTTTCAATCGTGTTGATTCGTTCAGTAATTCATTTTCAGTTGAAATCTTAGGATTATGATCGCTGTTATCGTCAGTATTACGATAAGTACTATCAAAACTCTCAACTTTCCACCATAAGGCATTGTTACAGTATAGTAAAATAAAAAATCCAAAGTGAAGCCCAAATATTAAAATGTATAAAACTCTGATATGGACCGTGGTGTTTACTTCCATTTTTTCAGCCATTACAATGTCCATCTATGTAACTGAAAAGCTCTTTATTAACCTTTTATCTCTCCAATTATTGACTATCTTAATTTGAGAACAATATCTGTAATTAGAACCAATTTAGACCACTTACCCTTACGATAAGTTAATCAATCTAGAGTATATAATTACTTCATAATATTACAATACAAGTATCAGGTCATATTGTTATCAAAATAATTTACCCGATAAGTGTCAAAATTCATTTCTCTGGTTGCATGAAACCTTTCAACATACCTGTAATATACCAAACTGATTTGTATTGACAATGGCAATAACAGCTTCATGTTTACCTTCACAAGGATGCGCCCTAGGGTATAGACATTGATACCAGATTCACTGACGAGGGACACACAAGGATGCGCCCTAGGGTATAGACATTGATACCAGATTCACTGACGAGGGACATGACTTCCATGCAACGCCAAATTCTATGTTCAAGAACAATTACAATTCCCTTACAATTTTTCCACGTCTCCGTAGGTGACCCCAGTAAGGCAAAACTTGTTTCACTATTCGGCATACCCTTAAAGTTTCAATGGCAGTCACAATTTCCAATTCTTCAACTGGGTCGACCCATTTTTCAGAGCTAATCATTTAGATTTATTGTTCATTTGTTCTCGTCGTTGAGTATACATGAACTATTCGTCACTGGACGTAAAGCAAATCAATAAATCAATCAGTCATTCATTTACAAGTTTATTTTTAGATTAACCGCATCAGTATATTTTTTTTCGAATTTGGCATGTTCATGTTACAGGATATGTATACATAAATCGATAAAACTTTCACTGTACTTTACCAAGCATATTTCCTGCCAAACTGCAAATACTTTAAGTCTTATTATTAATTAATTGGAATTGAAAGTACTGTCATTCTAGTAGAACGTTTGAATTAACGTGTTTTAGCCAGGTCAAGATTACGTAAATCAATCGCTTTTATGTGGACCGTTCGAATAGATATTCTGAAAAAATATAGAGAATATTTGGACGATTTTGAAATTTGACCTTGAAGTTAAGATAATTTGTTATTTCCTGTCCTAATACATGTACTATCTCAGTTCTTTCGCAGCTGTTTAACCCATTATATTACACATGCGTATTATATATTCTGCTTAAAATAGTGCTATACCAGACGTTATTCATTTTTACCAATGTCGCTGGAAAAGGATCGACCGAGTTGAAGGATGGGAAATTTTGACTGCCATTGAAAATGAGGGTATGTTGAATAAGCATACAACTTGTTGTCTGCTCTTTGGTCGGGTTGTTGTCTCTTTGACATATTCCCAATTTCCATTCTCAATTTTAATTTGTGCCTTACAGAAGGCCACATAAGGAGAAATTTGCACACAAAACTGTATTTTAAAAACAAGTTTGATGACATATATTTTTCATTATAATATTTGAAAATTGTATCATACAAACTACAAATAGCTAGTAATTGTATAAAAGGATGCGCCATCGTTCTCTTACATTCTCAAATTTTATCCTGCAATCAGCCAACTATTGTACAAATAACAGGTACACAAATAATTTTTTGCTTTATTTGTACTTGTACAAATAAAGTCTCCTGTTACCCCTCTTCCATGTTGAGCAAGCAGTAATGTGGATATTTCTTTTTGCGTACCAATTCATTTCTGGGTCCTCTTCGCGGTCCGCGTTTAAACTAAGTCGATTACTTTGAAAAATTAGAGACAATGATTTAGATTTTAACAACTTTAAAACTTCCAAGTGTTGGGTGTAAATTTAAGGATAAAAACAATATATGTACATTGTCGGAAAATATAAAATTCGCTGCGAAACAGGAGAAAAGCTCGGCGAGCCTCGCTTTTCTTCCTGTTTCTAAAGCTCATACAAATAAATTTATATGTTCCGACAATGTAAAATATTGTATATGAATAAAGGACATAAAAACCAAAAGTCGACATAGATTACGATCGTCCACAGTAACAATAGATACGTGTCTATACAATATGTCAAGATCTAATCATCCCGAGTCTAGGAAAGTTGGGAATAAAAATATAGAAGATCTGTTATAAAAATAATCCCTAAATTTGAAACGGAAAGATAAAACTAAGGGCAAACACTGACGATGTTCCCGACAGTACAGACACATGTGGTATAAAACTAAAGACAAACACTGACGATTTTCCCGACAGTACAGACACATGTGGTATAAAACTAAGGACAAACACTGACGATGTTCCCGACAGTACAGACACATGTGGTATAAAACTAAGGACAAACACTGACGATGTTCCCGACAGTACAGACACATGTGGTATAAAACTAAGGACAAACACTGACGATGTTCCCGACAGTACAGAAACATGCGATATAAAACTAAGGACAAACACTGACGATGTTCCCGACAGTACAGACACATGCGGTATAAAACTAAGGACAAACACTGACGATGTTCCCGACAGTACAAAAACATGCGGAATAAAACTAAGGACAAACACTGACGATGTTCCCGACAGTACAGACACATGTGGTATAAAACTAAGGACAAACACTGACGATGTTCCCGACAGTACAGAAACATGCGGTATAAAACTAAGGACAAACACTGACGATGTTCCCGACAGTACAGACACATGCGGTATAAAACTAAGGACAAACACTGACGATGTTCCCGACAGTACAGACACATGTGGTATAAAACTAAGGACAAACACTGACGATCTTCCCGACAGTACAGAAACATGCGGTATAAAACTAAGGACAAACACTGACGATGTTCCCGACAGTACAGACACATGTGGTATAAAACTAAGGACAAACACTGACGATGTTCCCGACAGTACAGAAACATGCGGTATAAAACTAAGTACAAACACTGAAGATGTTCCCGACAGTACAGACACATGTGGTATAAAACTAAGGACAAACACTGACGATGTTCCCGACAGTACAGACACATGTGGTATAAAACTAAGGACAAACACTGACGATGTTCCCGACAGTACAGACACATGTGGCGGGTTAAATTCATTTTAAACAGAAATCTTCATGTTTATATAGACTTGACATATTTTTATTTAATTTGCTTAGTGTAAATGGACAGAAAATTGGTATTTACCGGAAACTAAGACAATTTCGATTATTGTTTAAACAAATACTGATGCCAAACTCTATATATGACTAAATGAAGCTGGTTAATGTAGTTTTATGTAATATGTATGTATCGCTACCACTTTTATTGGCAATTATATGTAAGATAAAAAAATAAATAACGAAACATCAAATAAAAACATGCAACCATAATGAATAAACATGTGAATTGTGTAAGTCCCTACAGACTTTGTCCTTGATTCCTTAATGTCAGTCAGGAAATATTGTAAAACTTTACACGTATTGCTTGATGTGATCACGAAGCATTTAGATTGGTTCCTGGCAAGGCTGTTTGTTGATTGAACCTCATAATTGACAGAAATCAACCAGCACAGTTAACGTCGTCCGCTGCTTCTGAACCTGGTAATTGATGCTTTAAGCAATACTGCTTCCTGCATTAGCTGTCGATGATCCCTTTTGTTGTGTTTGTTATGAAGATCAAGATTTGTTATCGGGGCGAAGAAATGGCATCTAAATGAAATATACTGAAGCACTGTCTAATGAATAGTTTGTAATTTGCAACTGTTGGAAGAGGAAAGAAACCAATAAATTCACCCACTAATGATTTGAACACATGAAGTGGAAGTATTCTCCATATATTTTCTCAAGTATAATAATGAATTTCTATTTGATAGTACATTTACTACAAAACTGTAATCTGTAATTTTCGTTGATGCACATCAAAACTTTCTATACAGATGTTTGATTGCTTTTCTTTTCTACATTAACAGGGATTTGTAAAATATAAAAAATAATCTGCCTTTCACCGATTCTCATCGCCGCTTCCGATAAATACAACTTTCTGTTACTTCTTACATCGATACGTTATCTTACTCGTTATTTAATCGGCTTTTTTCACAAAAAATCTTAAAGAGTAAAAATACTCGTAAGTCATACACATGTCGGTAACAAAAGAGTTTGTAATATTGCACCATATACGCATCATGCAACTTAGCGAAAATGATCCACAAGTGCTTAACTTATATGATTTCTGTAATATTCAGACTATAAATTTGAGTACAAAGCCATTTTGGTGTATATGTAACGTTCGTTGCTCACATACTTAATCGGGGGCCTCGGTGGCCGAGTGGTCTAAGTAGTTACTACTGTAATCACTAGCCAGTCAACACTGAGGTTGTGAGTTCGAACCCCGCTCGTGCGGGTGCACTCGACTCCAATCTTAATTGACTAGGATTGTCAGTTTTCCTATCGAAGGTCGGTGGTTTTCTCCGGGCACTCCGGCTTCCTCCACCAATAAAAAACTGGCCGCCACGAAATAGCCCTAGTTTAGTTCTGTTAAGACAGTGGACAGGTCTGGAGCAAATTAATTTAATATTTGAACTTGACACTCACGTGTCATCATGTTGTTTTTAAGCCTTATTGTAAACCTTTTGCTTCTGAGACTATATTGATGGAAATGCTCTTCAACTTCGTGTTTTATTTGGCCTATTTACTTTTTTGATTCGAGCGTCACAGATAAGTCTTTCGTAGACGAAAAGCGTGTCTGGCGTACAAAATTTTAATCCTGGTATCTATGATGAGTTTATCTACTGTTCATAATGTTTATTAATATTTCATGTCGACTATTTATTTGTCTTAACCTTGCCCCCTTTTTTATGTACGATTTCTCATTCCTAATTCAAGAGCTTAAAAAATTCATACTGCAACACCATCTTTTTGTGCAAAAGAGGTGTGGATATGAATGCCAATATTTTTGTAATTAAACAATG